CTTTAAATGTTTTATCATTTGTGAATACTCTCCAGCATGTAGAAACAAATGCTGGGAAACAGGATTATTTGGGTGAAAAGTACAAGCTTTGAGCCAGTGGTCGTCCACTAAAATATGCATGGATCACCACCGCTTATTCAAATTCACTATGGCGTGGTTGTAACTGGGTAAATTCCTATTAGCGTATGGTTGCAATCAGACCAAACCTACTTCCTTATAGCTTTGTGTGGATAAGACTCATGAATTTGTACATCTCACTTACGACATAGCTTTGTTTTGGTTTCACTTAGTGCCTTGATTCCTGTTTTCGGTTCCGCAATTGCAATTCAATTAGTTAAAACATTAAGTAGCAAGATTTTCTTTAGGCTTCATCCCCTTCCCACCTTCTAAATCTGTTGGTCACTTAACCGGAAACAGGGACAGAATCAGGATTAGATAATGGGAGGGGCTAAGTTGGCTAACTTCACTGACTGGGAAGCAGCAAGTCGAACATTTGAGTGTTTCTTGTCGCAAATGCTATAGATGATATCAAATTTTAAGTTAGGTAGGATATGTTTCTTCAATCTTGCCATACTTTTTGAATTACTAATTGTTTTGGCAGGAACTTTATACCCGGTGTTAATGATAGTTCCATGTAGTTTATGCCAATTCGAGACCTCAAATACGACCCATTTATCCACATCTTACCAATAGGGTTTGTTCCTGGCTGCATTAGCTGTTTTTCCCGATGTAGTTGCCTGAACTGAACTGAACTTTTCTATAGATTGTTTTAAGATACCATACATAATCAACTTTGTTGCAGATCATACTTTCTCAAGAAAGGAATATTCAGAAACTGAACAAGCTCGTGAAGAATCTTCGTCAACAGTTGCTTCAGTGTAAGGCTGAAAACGAGGTTGTTAACAGTTCTGCATTTGCTTTGAGCGAACATTTAAGCGAGATCGAACGGCAACCGACGTTGGACGACTAGTATTTTTGGGTCACTGCCACAAGAATCGGTACTTTCCGGTATTTGCAATCACGTAAACCTTGATTTTCTTTCTTTTTGTAGCTTCAAAATGATAATTGATTTAGTTTAACTTACAACACATGAGATGAAACTCTTGAATGTCTCTTGCAGATATATTTCATGGATGGTTTATGACTTTTTTTAAACGTCAAAATAAATGATCAGAATATAATAACACGAATTCAATCATTAATTTTTCAAAAAAAAATTAAGTATTAAATTGAAAAAATGAAATAATTTATGGGGCAATTTGTAATTAAGCCCCTTTTCAAACTACCATAAAGGAGTGTCTCATTATGTTAATACGTTGATAGTCGATCAAATAAACAAAGAGCTATAATTTTATGCTTATCCAGATTCATGCATCAATAATACAATATTATTGTGAAAAATATGATAGTATCATTAAGTGTCGCATGTCATAACTTAATTGGTCAACATCAGATACCAATCTAAGAATTTTTTTAAAGTTTAAGTACTAATTTGAGAATTTGTTTTAGTTTAAGGTACCAATTTGAGAAAAATAATAGAGTTCATGTATTAATTTTAGAAAACTATCAAATTCAATTAAGCCATATGATTTATTATACTATTTCGTACTTGATTTTTTTTTTACAAATGTGGTATCTATGTTTTTAAATCAATTTTATACTTAGATTTTCCAAACGTTACTTGATATCTAAGGCTTTTTTTTATATTATATAATTATAAGTTCTATATTATATAATTAATACTAACAATCAGTTGGTCTAGTGAGATAAAACACTAGGTACCTTAATCAAGGTCAGGGGTTCGAATTTTGACGTTTGCGAATGGAGCAAACTGGGTTGGGAGGGTCGGCCTCGCCTCTGTAGTATCTGATTTGAATTAGTCAGTCAATAGATTGGATACCAGTGATTAATTCAAAAAAAAGAAGTTATATATTAAGTGAGCGATCATAAAAAGATGTAAAATTAAAAAGTTTTATATTATATATAATTAGATCCTAGTCTTATATATAAGACATTACATATTTAGTATTTGTATGAATTAAATCAACGGTACACAACAAAATACAACAAGATTTCGTATCATAATTTGAAGATCTAACGTCGTATTTTATTATACTAACAAATATGGTTAATAGTCAAATAAGATAGTTTTTATTAGGGGTGAGCAAAATTTGATTCGATTTTAAAAATTGATTTTTTCTACTCGAATCGATTTGAAAAAATTCGATTCGAATTGATTTCGAGTTGTAATTTTATAAATTCGACTTGACTAAAAAAATTCAATTTCAAAAATTGAGTTATAAAATACAACTCGAATAACTCGAAATCTTTAGTAATTAGTAGATTGATTTTTAAGTTTGAGTCGAGTCTCTCGACTTTGTATGATATATGCAAATCACATATAAAAAAATCACGAAAAAATATATATGTATTACATATAGTTATAAAATATCATTTAAAATGGAATCAAACAATTTCATAATATTGTAAATTTCTACGATTAAATTTAAAGAAAAACTAAAAAAATTGACTCGACTCAACTCGAAAAAAAATTAAGTCAACTCCGAGTTATAAAATAGGATTCGTCAACTTGATATGGGTCGCATATATGGATTTAGTGGGTGAGTCTCTCAACAGGGATTTTTTTGCATACACAAGGTGTCGAATATGAGACCTTACTTAAGCAATATTAAGTTGATTACCACTTGAACCAACCCGTTGGTAAATTATTATAGTATTTATACATTAGAATTGATCACACACAAGATCATGGATACATTTTAAGACCATTTATTGGATTGTTGTTTACTAATAAAATTTGTATTTAAATATCATTTATAATTTCTTTTGAAGATTTAATTATTATAGCTATTAAATATTTAAAACAAATTGACAAACGGTTAATCATGGAACACGTTAAATATAAGAAAGTTCAAATAAAAGGGTGAAGTATACAAATGGTCCCGATAATAAGATATTGTTTTATTAAGCTCTCGACTATTAAAAATTATAAAATGGTTACTCGATTATTCATTATGTTTTAAACTCGTAATTTTTCATTAAAAAATTTGATGGTATTCTGAGTTAAACGTTAATCTGCTGACTGTAATATGATAAAATCTGATTATATAATCTCAAACGACTATCATATCCCATTCACCATGTTAACGTCCATGTTAGACAACCACCAGCTTTTTAATGGGAAATGATGACTTTGAAACTTAATGAATAGTCGGTGACCATTTTGCAACTTTTAAAAGTTGAGAGACATAATAAAGTATTATTATATAGCAGAGGATCATTTTGTAACTTTTAAGAAACTTAATAAAGTAATATCTTATAATTAGGGAACCATTTGTGTATTTTACCCAATGAAAAAAAAGAGGGTGATGGAATTTATTTGAAGGAGCCAACCTTGATGTCAAGAATTAGGAGGACTGTGGAACTTACAAATGTAATTTTTTTAAAATTCCAAGGTTTCGACATAATTTATAAGCATTTATTTCAATTAGTCAAATTGCTTACGATGGAAGTTCAAGTAGCAATTTCTCATAAGATTATAAAAATTAATTCATACTTTTATAAAATGTTTAAAAATAATTATTATTGTAAGAAAACCATTTATTTTAATTATAAAATCAGTAATTATAAATCGAAATCGAAAAAAATAAGTAAACGTGAACCTTTTTATTTATTAATATTCTTAATTATATGATATTGAACACTCGTATCCCTGACATTTTTAGTGCTAGAACTCACAATCTCAAGAAATAACAACAATTCCTTTATTACTTAAATCGCTTGATTCATGCAAAATATGAAACTTTTTATCATTACACGAAATATATGTTTAATATTAAAAATGAACAATTTTGAAACTAACTATCAATCATGTTATGCATGAATCAAGTTATTTTAATAGTTAAAGATATAATTGTTATCTCTAAATATCTCAGGTTTGAATATTAATATCTACATAATATTTAAACATTTGTTATCAAATAATAAAATCTTTAAAAACATATACTTATAATCACCTTAAATTAATAAAAATACGACAATCGTATTAAAAATATTTATTAATAGAATTAGTATACATATAATTAATTCGGTGAAGAATCTTATATCATAATCTATATTTGGCGAATTAGTTGGTCACATATTTAAAATTTTTTATTAGTTTTATTAAATAGAAGTTAATTATCGGCACTCCTTATTAATAAAATAAATTAAATTAAAGGTTTAAGATCCATCTTTGTCTATGTAGTAGATCAAATTTATCACTTTCGCTCGTATTCTATTTTTACATCAATTTAGTCATCGAAATTACTCAATTGTATCATTCTATACCATATTCCTAACTTAAAATCTTAAATTATAAACTCAAATTAGGGTTTAGTGTTTATGATTTAGAGGCTATGGTGTTATGGTTTAGGTTTATAATTTAAGGTTTTAATTTAGGTGTAATTGAACAACTTCGAAGATTAAATTGATGCGAAAATAAGATAGGGGCAAAAGTGATAAATTGGGTCTACTACAGGGACAAAAGTTACCCTTTTGTCTAATTAAAAGAGTTACTCTCCTAATAAATCTGTAAATTACGAACTGTTCATTCCGAGTGATCTCCGTGGTGAATGAATTATTTTCATTCTTTGAGACCCGAATTTAAACATCATAAATGTTAAAAGTGTGAGCGTTTCTTGTCAAAATATTAAGATATATCTCATTGTAAATACCTCAGCTTAATAAAAAAAATTATGAACTATTTTATGATCACTCACAACAGATTAAAATATATACCCCATTTTGTACTTGAAATTAAACTTAATATCTAAATTAATAATTACATTAATTAAAAAATAATTAATACGATATTAATATTTTACAAATTTAACAAAATTATTTTCAAGACGAAATCAATAACCACGAAACGCGTCACCTTTATCAATAACCACGAAGTTTATATATTTGCAAGCAAAGATAAATCCAAAGCTTTTTTTTCTTTCGTTTTGCCTTGGATCTCAAGCTTCATCCCATAAGAAAACCATCATTCTTCTCTCTTTCTCTGTCGGTCGCTCATCACATCTTCCTCGCACGAAATCAAACACCATCCGTCATTTGATTCCCAATACCTTTAATTAGCTTTTTTTAAACCCCCGGAATTCCGTTCAAAAGAATCTCAACAAACTCGCCTTTTAACATCACTTTGTTTCTGTTTTTTGTTCAGTTTTTGGTTCTTTTAAGCTCCCATTGTTGTTGATACAATAGATCGTGGCGCGTCGTTAATCCGTTTGGCTCACCATCTTTTTGAAAGGTTTCGAAATCTGGGTTTCTCTTCTTTTTCCTTTTTCTTTTATCAGTGAATGATTGTGTGAATTGTGAACTGTGAAGTGATTTCTCTGCTCTCTTTTTTGTTTTCCAGGAAAATTTTGGATAACAAATGTTGGGTGAACTCATCACCAGGGTGCTTGTGTAAGTCGTGATTTATTACCACTTTTTTTGTTCTTTCTGGGTTTTGAATAGAACTAGGAAGGATTTAATTGCTTAGTTTGGTTTCTGGGTTTTGATTTGGGTGTTGTAGGTTGGTTCTTGGATATGGGTTTCCAGCGATTGAATGCTTTAAAACAGTAGAGAAGAATAAGGTTTCGATCGAGGAACTCAGATTTTGGTGTCAATATTGGTACTTTTTCACAAGTCTCAGCTATAATTGACTTACTTATATTTAAATACTTGTTTTGATTATAATTTTTTAAGGGTAAACTACTCATTTTAGCACCTAAACTTTTATTTTTTTTTCAAAATCATACCTAATGTTTAGCTTCTATTTTATTTTAATACTTCACCGTTAAAAATTTATCGCGTTTAGTATCTAAATTATTAGTTTTGGTCTATTTAGCATCTAAACTTTCAATTTCCCCCCAAAACTTAACGTTATGGAAATATTAAAATGAATCAAGAACTAATATTTTTAATGGCAGGATACTAAAATGAAATAAAAATTAAACTTCATGTATAATTTCAAAATTTTAAAAGTTTATGAATAAAACAAATCAAAACTGATAGTTTAAGTACTAAACCTATAATTTACCCAAATTTTAAAAATTATAAAATAGTCTTTAAATTTCCGAAAGTCATGAGCTTTCTCATTTATTTGCATTTTTCTAGTTCTTAGCTATAATTGACTTTTCTCTCATGCATGCACTGAATTGGTCAATTTAATATTCTCCTCCTTCTAATCATTAGAGTAAATTATATTAAAGGTGATTGAATTGTGTTTAAATAATCATTTTAGTCATTACATTTTTAAAAATCGTAAATTTTATTAAATTTATTAAACTATTATAAAATCATCATTAAATTTTATCAAATTATTATAAAATATTTATCAAATTTAATGAATTTGTACTTATTAGAACATTATAGTGATCATTTTAATAGTTCGATAAATTTAGTGATTATTTTATAATTTTTAAGAATTCAATGGTTAAAATGATTATTTAAGAATATTTCAACGTCCTCTACTTACTTTACCCTTATTATTATTTTACTTGTTTGATCCTTCTTCTATGGTTGAGAAATTCAACGTTTCTTAAGCTTCTAGTCTTTCCAATTTAAATTGTTCATTAAGTTTTTGAAGTTGTCAAACTTTGGCCTTTGCTATTCTCTATCCCATTTTTATAGATTTTTGGGTCAATTTATATTTAATGTACTAACGATATATATAGCGAACGGGTATTAGTACAAGTGGTTGAGATTTAGGAATTTGAGTTTGTAAGGCTAAGTTTGAATCCTACCACCGTGGGCAATCTATAAATTCCTATGTAAATCCCAATTGGATCTTAGGTATGCCTTGACCTTGGATTAGGGTGCCGCCCTCACCTATATATATATATGATACTAATTTGTTTTAAATAAATTTGAGGTGAAATTAATTACCTGGTACTTACTTTTCATTTAGTCCCATATCATAACTATGTTTTCGTTAGGACATATATATCGGTTTTATTAGAAAGTTGATCCTTAAACTCTATTCTGATTTCCATATTTATAATTTTTTTTTATATATAAATGTACATAAATTATCATTTTTTTCTCATTTTACCACGACGATTTTGCAGGATCGTCGTAGCATTTTTGACATTATTCGAGAGCATAGGGGACACATTATTTTTGTGGTACGTTTCATTCGGACATGAGAAAATCGTTAAACCGCAACACGAATATGTTAAACATAATACGATTATAATACGAATACATGTATTTTTAGACCGAATACTACTATTACTGTTCTTTTTTTCCCAATTGTTCTTAAGGTTGCCTATCTATGGCGAGCTGAAGCTTACACTCTTGATATACCTATGGTATCCCAAAACCAAGGTAAAACTAAAACGTACAAGCAATGCATTTGATGTGTGTTTTGTTTTCCAATGCAAAACTTGCAAGTTAATGAGCAGTTACCAGCTTTGGTTTTCTTGGTAATGAAGGGAACTGGTTATGTGTACGACACATTGCTGCGGCCGTACATGGTGAGACACGAAACCGAATTCGGTCGAACGATACAAGAATGGCGAGCCAGAGCTTGGGATTTTGCTCTGTGTTATTGGGAGAACTGCACCGAGTTGGGGCAGACCAAATGGGTCGAGATATCGCAGTTCTTGTCCGGTCAGCCTTCGAGGATGAAACAAGGCAAGCTGGTAAGTCTTCATTACCCTGAACTCGGGTTAGAAATTGTAAGTTTTGATCGAATTCAGAAACCCGAATACCCAAACTTGTTCGACCCGAATACCGACCTTAAACTTGCAATGATCCTAACCAATACAATCTGATTTAGATCTCGATTGCCATATCTAACTTGACTCAAATTGAACACCATGACAATAGTTCAGCAAAAGTTCATCAATGGTGTGATTATATATGATTTATAACTTGAAATGATTAGCTGTTTTAAGTGTTCTAATTCTTCGATGACTCAATGCAGATTAACCCAGTTCTAGATCACCAAATGGAATTTGACGAGAAACGGCCAGCCCGTCGTAGACTCTTCGGAGGCAAAGCTCATTAAGCCGAACCTGACAGAGAGTCCAAAAGCTCCAACAGGGAATCACACAGTCAACAACTTGTAACAAACGAACAACACTTGTATAAACCACTCACAAGCTTGCAAACACAAACAGAAGAAAGAACCCAGAAATTGCTTCTTGAATAGCTAGTGTCAAATTCAATTCATTCTTTGCTTTTTTCTTCTTGTCCCATTGTAATACAAATTATGTTCCTACAAAAAAGATTATTATTATTATTATATAAGACTTGAAGTTTTTTTTGAAAGGTATAAGACTTGAAGTTTAATGGTCAAATTATATAGTCACTATAATTTCCCTATATATATTTAAAAGTAATTATTATAATGTTTCTCTCTCTATATTTTTTCAATTATCTTTCTATATTACCGAATAAATGAAAAAATATTCATGTCAGGTCGGATCGAGGGGTTTATTCCAAAATTCGAGACAGATTCGGGACAAGTAGAATGTAACCTAACACTGGGGCGGGGCGGGTGAAAACTTTCAGATTTCAAGTCGGGGCGACCAAAAAAATCAACCCTCGGTAGAAAATCACTGGATTTCTATAATCATATCATGGTTTATGGATGCCATGGTCATAATTCAATATACATGATCGATATCGTAGAAACAACAGATGGACCCAATGATTATATCCTCAATGCATCAGTTCTACACATCTACATTTGGTATGTCTGCTTTCGAATTTTGATATGTCAAACTAATGACTCATTAATAAAAACTCAAATCAACAAAGGGATGATGTTAATGTGCATATATACTCGGATTCGACAGACTGTAATTCCGATGCCGGAACGTTTTATTTCTATAACTAAAACCATAGGATAGATAAATTGCTCAACCATGCAGTGAATGGCAATAACCCCTATACTTAGCATCCATGTAAAACATAAAGAAGAGGTGCTGCCATTCTTTGTGCAGAACTTGGTTAGGAAAATTGATTTTACCTATTGAGTTGAGTTAAAATCGGAAGATGGCACTTCAGTCATTCTAGAAGGTGGAGTTTCTGGCCTTGGGGTACCGACATCAGCCATTACGAAGTCTGGATGAAGCATATCGACTCCGCTCCATTCAACACCTGCTATTCTTGGAGTTGAGGGTTACAAGCTCAAATGTTGAAGAATGTGTAAAACAGTGTGCACGTGCTTGTTCATGCCTTTGGCAGGTTGAGTAGATTGATTAGCTAAAAATAAAAGGATACAATCTGTCTTCCACATATCCGTAATGCTAACATCGGCATCCGATAGAAGCCAATAATCTGCATCATTCTGACAACCAGACAGGAAAAGTTATAGTCAATATTACAAATGCATAAATAACCTTTGACAAAAACAGCTGCCCATACTCCATATATTTGATGTTTGTAAAGCTTGGCAAGAGTAATTACTGGTCAAAGAAAAAAGGCACTCACATCGATATCTGATGGGACAATTCTCATCATTCCCCCGACAGGCTCCTGTGAAGCATTAATATCAGAGCCGATTTGATGATTTTGCTGTAACTGTGGTTCAATCTCCTTTCGAATGCCCACCGTATTGACCATCTCAACTTGGTTTTCATTAGAGGCAGAACTTGAAGCAAGTGGGGCACTCAGAGGAGGGTTAACGCCATTTATCTCTTCAAACTTCTCCTCAAATTGGCTGAGGAAAACAATTTGAAAAGAAAGAAATTAAAACAACCTCTCTTGACATCATCAATTAGTTTTATTTTAAAGAAAGATGGTTCGTAAACATGTATGGATAGATGGTCAAATATATAGAAGGGAGTAACACCTGACTAGATAAACATCAATGGGACCCATTGTGCTTCTAAGGATTATCCTGTACCTCCTTTGTCGATAGTCAACATCCTGGAATATATAGGAACAACCCCATTATGCCTTTGAATCATGCAAGTGGAACATTGTACTATGTCATTAAAGCTTTCCATAGTTCTTACCTCATCAGGATCAGGTACTTCCAGTGTTGTTCCATGTGGAGCTTTAATTGCTATCAGGGTTTCATTCTGCTAAAAGCAACACAGAAAATTTAGCTACAGTAAAACCAAAATGTCTCGGATATTAGCGTCAAATGCAGAAGATGATTGCAAAAGTGTAAATTTAGTGGCATGAAATAAACAAACCTGAAAACAAGGTATACGCTTAATGTCTTCTTCGGTCAAAAATAGCAACCTGAAACAGTTTGAAGATAGTTAAATGCAAATCTTTTTGCAAATATAGAAGTTGACTTCAATTAATTGGATTCCAGTGAAACGCAGGCAAGAAAGTCTTACCTCTGATTGTTCTCATTCTCACTCAAATCCCTTAACCTTTCCTGCATTTCTCTGCAATATTTTAGAAGCATCAGCATTCCTAAGCAGGTTTGAGGCAGTAACGGTTACTACTCTAACACGATAAGCCATGTACAACCTTATTTGATCATCTAATCTGCGCTCTTCCATGGAAAGGTTCTCAATTTCTCCCTGCATAGAAGAATAAAAATCAAGCCCATATGTATGGGAAATAAACCAAAAATCGGTAAAGCAGCAATTACTGAAGATCTTTTCAAAGTAATTGGTCAACATAAAGAACTAAAGAAAATTTCTAATGACCAAGAGAAAAATTTGTTGCCTAGATGTCAAAGAAAAAGAAAAATGATATTATTTTCACGTACCTGTAATACAGAGACATCACCATCTGTTTCTCCTGGCCTTGAAGCACCTTCACCCCTAGTAAATTTGAGTAAACTCTCAAATAAGTCCCAAGTTCTTTGAAGGTTAACCAGAATGACAGACCAAATTAAAACATCAAATTCTAGAAAAATGTTTAACATTATCAAATAATTACTTCCAGCGTATTCTGTTTTTGAACTTCTTTTCAATAAGATCAATGCCTTCCAAGACATTTGTTATATCATATATCCTCCTCTTCTGCACCTGTTGCAACATTTAGAGGAAAAAGAAAAAGAAAAAAACAACGATGAAAAGGCCCTTCAAGTAACATGAGAAAACACTCGCTAAACACCCAACTATACAAGATCACTAGTCATATATCATTACCTCCAATGTTTGTGCGGCCTTATTTAGGTCAAGGATACCATCTTCAGCATGCTTTATCAGATTAACAAACTTTTTTGTCAACAGACCTAGAAATCATGATCACATTATTGTGGTTCTCACCATCCATAGAAGATTAAGGAGACAAAAATACGCAGTTAAAAGAGAAAAATAACAGCCATAAGATTACCTAAAGAACTGTCATACCGGCAGTTGCCCACAGGTGTAAGAGGACATGGAGAACCTGCCAATTATTATACATTATGTCAGTAATTCCTCTTCCACATACTGTATCTCTCTTAAATCAATCATTAAAGTATTGATAATAGACTGTGGTGTGATCATAAGTTTCCTTCTATGGACTATGCTTGTAGGATATGGTTTCTCACCAGCATTCGACACAGGTGTCGGAGGTGTAGATTTATTGGCCTTCGGGTTCTTTGATCTATTATTTACCCTTCCTTTAGCAGATACAGGTGTCTGGAAGGGACTGTTGGAGATGTTAGTAACTCCTGGACTGCCTGTCCATTGGCTAGACTTAATTTCATTTTTGTTCACTGTGTTCTTCCTTTTTAATAGCTGTGAAAAAAAAAACAGCAGTATTTCAAAGTAGTTCCAATCGCAGGTTAAATTACAAGTTTACTCGGTATTTGCACATGATTATATGTACATTAACAACCAATTGGATTAAGGAAAAAACACTAATAAGAAAGTAAGTCTAACAAATGCAGATATAGACAGCAATATGCATAAGAAAAATTACTGTTAACCATAAGAACCAGCAGAATTGCTTGACTACTTGATTCAAAAAGGTATTCACAAAGGCCTAAAACAACTAGTAGTTCACTTGTTATTGTGCAGAGGACAATAATAAAAGAGGATATAAGAACATAAGTTTGCACAACAAACTAGCACGCATATGATACAGAATCAATTGGATCATTTCATAAATATCCATCAAAGCCGCAACTTCAAAAGAATAAACAGACATCAAGCTTTCTTCATATAGGGCTTGGAATTGAATATTTGGCTTTAAACCAAGAATGCAGTAGCATAACAACTTTATTACATAGAACTGACATGCTATCGATTGCAATTATGTTTGAAATCAAAACCCAAAACGCAATACTAGATCTTTGCCTCATCAGCATGTCTAAAAAATTATAGTACTAAAAGTTAGCATTCTCAAATTAAGGCATAGAAATACATGGATTATCAGGTTTTGGACATTGGATGAGGCCAGCATTCATTAAATTTCAACTAGTCTAGCAAATGAGTACTTGAATCTATCTAAACTCGAGTAAATCGTCAAATACGTGAATGACCAGCGAAAAGTCACTTATCAAAGTACGGGCATAACAAATAATGAACAGATCAGATAAACACATGACATTAAACGTTAAGTAAGAGTATAATTCTCATCAAAATTGAAATATCGTGACTAATTACGCTGCAACCGCCATCTCCAGAAAAGAAAAATTAAACTCACTGGAGCTCTCACAACAATTGCTTCAACTTCTTGATCGGCGATGATTCCACGAGCGTTTTCTGCACTGGAGGAAAACCTGTGATAGTCATCGGGTTGAACAAACGGCGGCTTCGTCGAGGCGAAGGCCAGATGGCGACGTATCGGCGGGACAACCGAAGAAGCCGTCGCTGAAGGTGCGGCTGAACCCGTTGGAGGAGAAGGATAAGGCCGGATGGGACCATCAGGGGCACGAGCACCGCCGGACATGGAGGCGGGGGTAGAATTGGAATTGGGTAAGAAGGGGAAGAGAGAGAAAGTGAGGGTTTAGACGTTAGAGAGAGAAAGTAGAAAACGAGGGAAAAAGGGAGGGAATCTTTTGTTTCGGATAAATATGGAGGGAAGCGTTTTGTATATAATTACAATTAAGGTATTAAAATGTTTTGTTTTTATCTTTATGAGCTCTTAACTTTTAAATCCATTCAATTCTGTCCCAGAAATAACATAAGATCTAAACACGAGATAGATGAATTTATATAGAAATTTTCTTCTATTCCATATATAATCATCCGTTAAATATTTTTTTATAAATATTTTTATATCAAAATTTTCTGTTCACTCACATCGTAAAATCGAGTTCGTGTTTAAATAATTTCGACATATTATAATATATCGAATATTACAAATTTAGTTAACGTGTAATATAAATAAGGGTAAACTACCTCAAATACTATCAAACTTTAGGCGTTATATCATTTATTCCATTAAACTTTTAATTTTGTCAATTATAGCGCTTAACTTTTATTTGCGTTTCAATTATACCACTGAATCATTAAATCGTTAACGAAACGATGATGTGGTTGACGGCTGTCGACGTGGATACCTCACCAAAACTACGTTGTTTTGACTCAACTGTTAACAATTTAACGACTCAATTGTATAATTGAAACGAAAATCAAAATTCGATGTTATAACTGACAAAATTAAAAATTCAGTGTATAAACTATACAACACCTAAAGTTCAGTGGTGTATTGGTGTATTTTACCCTATAAATTAACCATATGAAAGTGATTGAATTAAATATTTTGCACCTTCAGTTTGTAGCATAAAACAATTAAGTTTAGAAGGATACTTTACTTTCATTTTGAGGGTTGGGTGTTGATTTTTGTTAATCAATATTAAGAATGTGAAACTAAGGATTATACTTATAATTAATATTTTCATTTTCATTAAATAATAAAAACATTTAATTTGTTTGTGTTAGTTATATTATCGGTTGCAATTGATTGTGTGATAAATATTTTTTTATTAAACTTCAAAAGATTACATAGTAGTATCTGTTCTAAATACACTCAACTATTTGACAATGAATGCCCAATCACTCTTGCAGTCGTTGGTGTTCGAACCCGTGACCTTTAAGAACAATAACGATTCCTTAAACCAGTAAGTTGGTTCGTGAAAAAAAATGCTTCTAAACTCACATGCAAGATACATTTAGATGGATTCTCCCCAAACAACCTTTCCTACGAGACATTGTATAAACACTCTCTACAAAGAAGACAACAATCCCCAAAAACACATCATAAAGGGAAACATCTAGGCGAGTAGATTTGGTGCTTCTCAAGCTCATGAAGAAGTTGTTTTTGAGTAGATTTGATGTTCCAAAAGCTTGGAGGAATGTGCAACCTCAAATGAACCTGCAAGCTATAAATGCCAATGTATAGTATGTTAAAAGTTTACATTTGAGGTTTCTGATATACCTTTAACTGCCCAACTCTTATCTAATTTACTCACCCGAAGAGGGCTTTACTCGCCTAGGCTCTCTCGAACTCGCATCTTCTAGGAGTATGTCAACCGCATCGGAGTAAATGGCGTGGAATGGATCAGCTGTTGAAGAATGTATGTCTTCCATTGAACTCATGCTGATAAACAGGAACATTACTAACCATTAGATGACTGCAATTGTGTGATTATTATGATGTACAAGTGTAGGCCGATTACATAATTACTACCACTTTTTCTCTTCAAGTACTCCAATGCCCTACCATATGTCTTGCACCCAAATCTGAGGATAGAAAACACGTGAGCAATATTCACATGTTGAGCATAGAGAACACAATGTATCACAAAGGAAAACACTCTTTACAAAGAAAAAGACAATCCCAAAAATGCATCACAAAGGAAAACTTGTTGGTGAGTAGACTTGATTGCCTTCTCATGGACTTAATGAAGAAGCTGTTTTCGAGTAGGTTTGATGTTCCAAATGCATGGAGGATTGCAGCCCTTTATAAAGGCTCAAATAAAGCAGGTAAATATCATCAATTTCGTATGTGGAACAACAGTGAACCTGCAAGTTCAGTACTGATCAATGTGTTAAGATTTATCCAGTTTAAATCGAGCATCGTCAGAATGTAGAAGCATTTACTCTGTTAGTAAACACAAGTTCATATTCTGTGCTCCAATGGTGCCCAAACCAGTTAAAAGGGTGCCCTACATCAAAAAAATGTCAACCGCATTAGTGCCATCTGAGCCATATTCAGTTTGGTCTTGCACCCATCTCTGAAAACAAGTAAGCGATATTCACATGAAGCTCTAGATTAGGTTGGGGCGGGAGGTCTTCAAGTGACTTCTCTTCATCATCTTCGTCTTCACCTTCATAACCGCGATAATTGCTCAATTGTAAATACAATACCCGCAAATGCTGCTTCTCTTTCAAATTAGCAGGCCTAAACTCCTCTTTTGCATTTTTCACAAATCCCAAAATTGTTATCCATAACTTTCCCCTTAAGTTGTTAAGCCCACCCAATTCACTTAGATCTGCAGCACCAGCACCATGGGAACCGAGTATATCCACCACAAACAGGCTTAACGTCTGAAGCGAATTCAGCTTCCCTATTCCACGTGGCATATGAGTTAAGCTCCAACAATCACGACATGGAAGATGGGTAAGATTCACCAAATTTTCAATCTTCTTTGGCAATTCTTCAATCCCCCGACACCAGTCAAGTTTCAGCACTTGCAAACACTCTTCGGGAGCTTCTTAAGATCATTATTCCGAGAGAGATCAAGGTACCTCAAATGTTTCAACTTATGAATGGAGCGTGGAATCATATTAAGATTTAAACCATCCAATTCTAACACACGCAGACTTGTACAGTTTGAAATTATTAAATCCCAGGTTGTCTCATCCATATTTCGATCTTCCAGGTTAGGAAACTGTAACAAGGTTCGTAGCTTCCTTCCCTTGAACGAAGGAATTATTGTAAAATCAATGGACACATGGCGACATATTTCATCAACCTCCCTTGCACCAGAACTAAAATACTACTCTCTCTCCCCGCTACTGATTCAGCAAGATCATGCATTAAATCATGCATTTTACATGTCATTTCCCCCCGATAATCTTCATTTATCTCTTGAAAGAAACTACTTTCCGCTAAGTCTTTAAAATAATCCAACCCAATCTCTTCGAGAGATTGATTCGGCTCTGACTCTGATTGCTTTACAAAACCTTGTGCAATCCAGAGTTAAACAAGTGTTTGTACATTCATTTCATGATCTTTTGGGTACAGTCTGCAAATAAGCAAAACAATGCTTCAAATGGGATGGGAGATGGTCATAACTCAACCTGAGTGTAGGCATTATTTCACCATCTTTTTGGGATATTCGAGCAAGTTCATTACCTTTGAAAGAACGCCACTCATTTACTGTTTCTTTAACGGGTAGGGTTCTAGCTATAGTCCTTATGACCAAGGGAACTCCACCACACCTTTCTACAATCTGCTTCCACAAAGGCTGGATTTGTTGAGTCTTCAGGTCTTTGCTCAAATGCTATTTTTTTTTAACAAAGACCAAGCATCATCATCAGACAAGCCTTTTAAAACATGGGGTTTAGGATCGCTCTTCTGCGCCAAGAAGCACAGCTTGGATTCTGATTATGGTGCGTTTGAGGCCCTCAAGGTAGTCTTTGAGAAAGAGCGAGGGAGCCCAACTTAGTAACGAGCCCTGAGGCGGTGTTGAAAGCAATAGCTTCGGCCATTGGTATCGAAAGAGAAACGAAGGCAAAAGTGTATGGTTGTTTGCAAGAGGAATTGCAGGTGTTAATACATGCGGAGTGTGTAGTATTTTATATATACAGATGACACCAGCACCCCACCAGTGGTTGTAAAAAGAGTTGATATTTCACCAACCAAACCAAAACCTTGTGTGGTTCAGTACAATAATAAGATCAAAGGTTAAGAGACGACAGAAGAAGCTTTAAAAGCAAAATGTCCGAGTCTCTCTGTCCGAGTCTCATTAGTTTGACGATCAAATCTCATTCACGATCTAACCTATAAACGCTTGATATCAAGTTTCCAACCATTGTGCTTCATCCACTTTTAGCTAATCTTAATCGTCCTTCCTTGTCATTTATAAAGATGAGAGTAAATTACGTTAGATACACTGGTTAAATTTCAGCACTTGCAAATTTTGTATGATTGTATCTTACAAATATTCTCCGGGAGAATCACAAGATCATAATTATCAGAGAGATTAAGGTACCTCAAATGTTTCAACTTATCAATGGAGCGTGGAATTGTATTAAGATTTAAACCATCCAATTCTAACACACGCAGTCTTTTACAGTTTGAAATTATTAAATCCCAAGTTGTCTTGCTCATATTTAGATCTTTCTGATTAGGACACTGTAAGAAAGTTCGTAACTTCTTTCCCTTGAACAAACGAAATAGTGAAAGCTTAATCGATACATGACGACACATTTCATCAACCTCACTTGTACTTGGATTTGAATTTAAAATAATACTTCCTCTCCCTGCCACTGATGCAGCAAGATCATGCATTTTACATTTCATTTTCCCAAAAACATTTTCTTCCATCTCTTGAAAGAAACTTCTGCTGAGCCTTTAAAATAATCCAACCCAATCTCTTCAAGAGATCCATCTGAATCTGATTGCTTTACAAAACCTTGTGCAATCCAGAGTTGAACAAGTGTTTGCACATTAATTTTGTGATATTTTGGGTACAGTCTACAATAAGCAAAGCAATGCTTCAAATGGAATGGGAGATGATCATAACTCAGCTTAAGTGTAGGCATAATTTCACCATCTTTTTGGGATAGTCTAGCAAGTTCATTATCTTTGAAAGAACGCCACTCATTTGCAGTTTCTTTAATGGACAGTGTACTAGCTATAGTCTTTATGGCTAAGGGAACTCCACCACACTTTTCCACAATCTGATTGTAAAAAATTATCGGAAACATTATTATTCTTACCGATTTTGTTCTTATTGGACGCTTTACCGGTTTTGTTAACATATCCGGTAAAACGCTACCGGTTTTATTATTTTTTTTACCGATTTTGTTATTATTAGACCCTTTATCAAAAATGTTAAAAAACATGAATGTTTTAGGTAAAAATCCGGTTTTATTAAAAAAAATAATAACAAAACAAGTATCGTCTTTACTTAGCCTTATATTAAGGCTACCGCACAAGTTACTAGTATCAACATCAGACAAACTTTCCAAAACATAGGGTTGAAATTTATTAGTATCTTTCAAAATAATATGACGTAACAAATTCGAATTCGGATAAAAATCATATCAGCTCTATTCAATTGGTTGAGACTAAGGGCTACCGCTCAACCTTAGCACTAAGGATGGGTGGGTCAGGTTGGATCAGGTTTTCAGTCAACTCAATCTAACCCAAAAATATATATCTTTCATCTGAAATCTGACTCGACCCGAGTTTAGGGGTGACTTCACTCAAGCCGAACTTGATCCAAATTTTTAAGATAAAATCAAAACCCAACCCGAAATAAATATATTTATAAAAAATATGATTTTTATTCAATAAAAATGAGATCTAATTGGAAAAAATAATATATAGACGATTATTATTGCAATCATCCCTAAATATACAAAGTAAATTTATATTATTTTTCGAGTCGGGTCGAGCTTTTTCATCATAAACCCAAACCCGACCAAAACATATTTTCTAAAAAATCCGATCCAACCCGAACTGAACCCAAATTTTTTTTACAAAACCAAACCTAATCAAGTTGAAGCCCGATCAGGTCGAAACCCTTCAACTTCGATCTCATGCACATCCCTACTTAGCACGATGGTGTCAAAGCACAACTATTATTGCTTGGATGAGTGCAAGCCCATTTTTTTCTCACTTGATGGGTGAACAAGAAAGATGGACCGTGATTGTGGGAGATCCATTTTTATGTTGCTCTGAACCTTTCGTTTTTTTTCAAGTATATGTATCAGATCCCCATATCCAATATATAGATAGACAAGGGAGGGTATCGGATGCCGGATCATCGAACAAAACTCTCATAAAAGATTATATTCCTCTTCAATGCAACCAAATAGATTTGCAATACTACTAAAGTTTATGGTTTTCATATCCAGAAGGCAAATAAAAATGGTTTAACCTAGAACATGCAACTTAAGTTGGCATGGTTTCTTTTATAAAATTCCAATACATCCTAGTTCAATTGTATTGAAATACAACACTTCTACATTCCTCTCTGCTCCAATATCATCCAATCACAATAACATCATCCAAAATAAACTTTTCCTCTGTACCGGACTTGAAACCACGGTATCCACTATCAAATGACAGAGAAAGATTCACAAACTTTAAAGACAGACGGTTAACGGAAAATGTTTCAGTCAAGACGATGACATATGTTTCGAACACAAGTGTTTCAAGAAAAAAAAAGATGAAGAGTCAAAGCGACATAGCATTTCCCCAGCACTCGAATCCTTGGTAACAAGCTTATCGATCAATAATCCATTAATCCTTCATTCTGCACCTGAATTGCAAGCTTCATACCAACTATTAAATGTTCAACACTAATGCATAGCCCTTTGCATGTAACAATAACATAAATCATTCTGTTTTTTCTACCTAATACTATCCATCCATACCGGCTACCATCTGGAATCTTTATGGACTCTGCACAAGCAATTTCTCCATGGGCTACTTCTATTAAACTGCAGGTAAATCTTTTCCTAAGACCCCCTAAAGTACTCGTATTTTATCCGAACCTACCGAAAGGATCGTCAATTTAGGCACTAAGCTAACTACGATGCAAGTTTTCTAAGACGTTTCACATTCTTAGATATACCATTAAAGCATTGGCCATTTATAAACCCAATTTATTTTCATATTCTTCCGAACATCCATAGAAACTCAATTAAATGTTACATGCTGATGCCAAATAAGCCGAATGGCTTCATGATCATCGAAAGGGTAAATCGAATTGAACTACAAAACCTTCAAATGTTTGAAGAGAAACCCAATTTCATTTGAAATACAGCACAATTTTCTAAGATATCACTAGGGCATTGAGATATCAATACGAGGCCAATAACCCCAATTTTATTTTTGAATTCTTTTGAACATCCATGGAAACTCGAATAGAAAATATTAGATTGTGATCCCAAATAACGCAATGACTTCGTCAGCATCAAAAACGTAAATCCAATTAAAAGATCATAAAAATTCAGCAACTACAAACCGTTCAAACATTGAATTAACCCCATTTTTTATTAGACTACACATTCTATCAACAGAAACGAAGAGTTCGCAGAGATCCGTACCCAACAGATCTCGATTGAAGTTCGCCCGCAAAATATCTCAGTCAGACGAAGAAGAAGAGGACGACTCGGCGGCGAGTTTTTCGAGGGCTTTCTGATGAGCCCAAGTCTCGATAGTGAGATCGGGCTTGGCATTGAGTCCGACACCAAGTATGACGATGGTGAGGAAGCTCGTGACGTAGCAAGGAAGCTCCCAATCTTCCCATTTACGGGATTGGCCCGGAGGTGGTGGGATCCTGTTGAAGAGGTAACCATTGGGGCGGTCCTGGTGACCGGGCGTCTTCCACCGGCTTGGTCCTTCGTGCGAAGAGAAGGTCCGGAAGAAGAGTCGGCGGCGGAGCATGCTGGTCAGGGCCATCGCGGGGGTGATTGCTTAGCCTTGAAAGACGAAGGGAGGAATTTGGGGTTTATTTGGTCAGTTGCTTGCTTACTTAGAGGGAGTAATTGCCCTAAACACGACATGGTTTACAGTTTGGGCCCGTTGTAGCCTTGTAGGTTAGCCACGCATCCCGTAGTGAAAGAAATAAGGTATAAGAGTAAATTACGTTTTCCATCACTCATCTTTAGCCGAGTCCTGTTTTGATCACTCAATTTAAAAAAATTATATTTTATTAAATTTTAAATTATTTTTATTGTGGTCACTTTACTGGTAATTATTTAGGGTAAAATATACATTTAGTACCTAAAGTATTAGTTTTGGTCATTAATACCTAACTTTCAATTTTTCAAAATCATATCTTAACGTTTTGTTTTCATTTCATTTTAGTACCCACTGCTAAAAACTTAACGAGCTTAGTACCTAAACTATCAGTTTTTGTCCTTTTTAATACCTAAACTTTCAAAAAAAATTCAAAACTTAACTTCAAGTTTTGAACAGGGTACAAAAATAAAATAAAAACTCGTCTTTTTACGTTAAAAAGTTAACAATCGTCTGAACTGGACGTTAACATATTGATTGAGATATGATAGTTGCTTGAGATTATGAGATCATATTTTATCATATCTCAGTTAGTAAGTTAATGTCTAGCTCGAACTACAATTGTTTCTTCTTTTCTTTTTTTTTATAAAAAAAGATGAATTTAAAACATAATGAATAATCGGACAACTATTTTATAACTTTTAATAGTTGAGTGACTCAACAAAGCAACTCTGTATAGTCGAATAATCATTTTATAACTTTTCATAGTCATGATACTTAACAAAACAGTATCATATAGTCAGTGGACCATTTCTTAATCAAACTCTCCTAAGTATCGAACAGATCACAGACTCGGATAAGAATCATGACCTCATACCAGATCAAACCACATATCAACTTGGATAGCAGATGAAAAATGTCATTCCTCTATGAACTATCAATAAAAGACAGCATAATGTAGAACGAAAGAAGGCAGATTTCCATAATAGTTTGAATCATCATAGTTCGTTCTATGGTTTTACAATATGAATCAATCAACCTCGAGCCAAGTATTCGATTGAATGACTCGAAGTTAGTATAATATATATATATATATATATATATATATATATATATATATATATATTTAATAACAGCATACCGACGTTTCTCATCTCCGGTCCTGAGAAATCGGAGGTTTCCATCTGACTCGGCTAAATAAACCACAGAAACCAGAAGATTATATGGTGAGACCTCTCTAGTTCTTCCTCCTGCTAATTTCTAATATTTTATATAATATATATATGTACAAATAGTAGTTATCACTCCGTTTCAAACTTCTTTCGGACTTCATAGCTCCATTTTCAATTGATTCGAGTGCAACGACGCTGCAACAAGATCGCGATATAAAGTTAGTCTCGTTCACGTTCTTCTTGGTGTTATGAGAATGATAGGACTCCAATGTAGAGTGGAATTGATCGAGTATTGCTATTCTTCTTTCGGTTGAAATGTGAAATTTAGCAGCAAAGATTCAAAATATTTATGGATTATGATCATTTACTAGGCATATAAACTCGTTTCGTTTCTACCTGAATTTCCCGAGGAGTCGTAGCTTACAAGCGAGGTCTCTGGAGTCATGTAATTATGGCAGACTTCTTCTCTCCCCCAAACAGGCTGTTGAAATGCATCAAACTGCGATTGCTGCGGATACTGTTGTCTGTTTCCGTTGAGTTGAACCTCGGGCCTCATCATAGGCATGACCATCCCGGTGAAGTTTCCGTCCATTAAAGATCCACTCTACACATATTACAGTATGATCAAGTATGTTAGTTCAAGCCTTCAAGTAATCAAAATAAAAAATTATTGTCTTGCTCTAAGCGGAGAAACTCGATGGACAGCCATGTAAACGGGTCATCACGTAGAGCTATTTGTCGAGCAAATTGAAGAGTTAAAGCCACAAAGCTTTTCCGAGCTATTTGTCACATGAACCAGGAGATTTGAGGAAAGAGCTTTCAATTTCCATCTTTAGACTCGAAACATATGACAGAAGGTGCCTGATACTTACTTCTGCTGTGAATACACTATCGAGGTTGACATCAATTCTCGGGCTAACTGCAGCGAGTCTCATTGATAAGAACTACAACCAAAGAAACATGATAACTAGATTCAGACCAAGAGGATGGAAGATACTGCATCTAAACCAAAGCATAAAACGAACATGCATGATAAAGAATTGGTAAGGCCATAGCAAGGCTCCTACTACAAATTCCGGGCAGTTTAAGTAGGTAAACATCCACTTGCAATGCTTAAGAACGCATCGTCGGTTCATAAACTTTATACAAGTTCAAACCGAACGGTATTCAAGACAAATATCTCACCTCCACTTGACGCTGTAGGGACTGCACATGATTGATGATTTCATCCAACACTAATGTTGTGCCCGAAATCTGCAGCACATGGAATTTCACAAATCAGAAAACGGTCTCAATATATTTGAATTCAATGATTTTGTTTAAGGAAATTCAAACTATTAGAAGACTCCAGAGCAGTCAACTTCTCGAACCTAATACCATTGAGCACAAAAGCATAGTTACCAAAGTTCGTGATACCGATACCGTATAAAACATATTTCGCAACATACAAGAAAACATCCACAATAACTTGCCGGAGCCATCCACCTAGAATCTGACCGTTTGAAAACTTAAAGACTTGAAACTTTCACAATAGCCACATATCACCGCATGCAGATAAATAAGTTCCAGTCTCACGAGGGAAGGACAGTATGCCGTTAATACGAACACTACTCTTTTCAACGGTTAGGCATCTCCAATCCTTTCAAAATTATGAGGAGATATGACATGTGGTCCTATAAAAGAAAGGTTATGTACAGGTTTGGTCATCTAGTTTACTCAGAATCGTGCTCACATCTCGAAGAAAACGACTTGTAACCCCACCCCCTTTTGAATCGTCGAAAACATCTTCTGAACTATTAAGGCGTAATCAAGATTAAGTTTCTAACAATTAAACTAATACCCCATGCACTATCACATCATGTCCCCATATAGTTAGGCAGCCATTGGGCATATAAAAGGCATTTTCTTTTGTGATCTTTTATATTGTTAACCCATAAGAGTATGGATGCCTAACTTGCAAGAGAAGTTGACAACTATTCTACATCAATGAAATGGGACCCCATAGAGACATCTGATCTAACAAGCCACTAGACAAGTTCATAGAGCACTTCATGGTAATGTCCAGCTAGCAGACCCTACGACTAAAACTTTCCGTCTGCTGTCGTCAAAGACTATAATTGTCATTGCACCGATACGGTGATACCTGTCCTCTTCACAGATAATTCAACATCCAAAACATCAATTCTGAAGATCACAAGATCCAGCATCCTTCCATTTATTACCCCCTTCACTTAAACGGGGATTAAAATCGAGCATTTGATACGAAAAAGGCGATGCTAACCTTGAAAAGGACTCCTAACAAACTCACCCAACAAAGGAAGAAGAGCTGAAACATAAAAATTATCAAAGTGCCATGGCACACCAGCTCAACCTTTTTGTTGTTTGCAAAAAGTGATCCACTTTTGTGCAAAAGTTGACGATGTACAAAAACCAATATAATCTAAAGGTGTAATCACAGCCTTTTTGTACCCTATTTAGACAGTTGTTCTTAATTTAATCACATAATCAAAGTCATAATCATAATCAAATCATTAATCAACCTAATAATCCAATTGAACTGACCTTACTGCATCCTGGTACCAACTCCTGTAGGAGCTTCATACGCGCATTAATCTTCTCTCTCCTAGCCTAAAAACAAAGATTATTAGCATGATAATGACAAATTAACTAATAAGCAAACTGATTATGGACTCAGTCATGAAATTAGTGAATTACTCTCTCAGCTAAGCTATGGCTATCTGTGGCTTGTCCGCGGCGAGCTCTAACGTGAACGTAAGGCAGTTTCTCGGCATCGTCGGAGCCCGACTTGGCCGCAGTTTTGCTTTTCTTTGTCGACCCTTTCACCTGAAAAACTCAAAAAACGAATTCATTAGCTAATTTGATCAGAATTTACCAAAAATGGGAACACCCGAAAGGCCATATCAGAAATTTTCACCTTCTCTCGGTCTTTTCTCTTGGTACTCCGCTTCTCCACCGTTGGATCAGAAACTAAGGCTTGATATGACTCGGTCTCCGCCGGCTCACTCTTCACCGGTTTCTGGAGATTCGCGCTTGAATTGTACGACGTCGGTTCAGGCGAGTTGTTCTTGTTATTGTCGTTGATGTTACCATCTCCGGCGAACACGGAGAACCTTGCCGCTCGTTCGATTAACCCGCTGTCAAAAGGAAAATGAAAGCTGCCTTTGAAATCATCAACGTTCGGAGCCGGAGCATGAGCAGCGATAAGCTTAACCGAGTCCGGGGAGTGAATGAGCTGAACGGCTTGAGAAGCCGGAAGTTCAAGCAGAGTCGTGAAGGAACTCGCATTGTCGGTCGCCGGAGCCAACATCAAACGGCGGATTTCGTTGGTAAATTGGAGCGATTCGAGTGCCGCCACTTCCTCCCTCTCCGACGCCGTTTCACGAGATCCGGTTCCCGCCGTCCCTGCGTTTAACTCCATATCAAAACGAACAACAACAACAACAAAGCGACCCAAATCGAAATTCTGAGAAAAACCCAGTTCAACTCCTCGAAAATAAGAAGCACCCACTCGCTTAATCAACCCAAATTTAAGTCTCAACAGCTTAAAAAAAAGCTTAAGCTTTGTTATGGTTCATCAATGGCGGTCGGGTCAAGCTAACAAAAACCGAGTTAATTGTCATAAAGAGATTAAGTTGTCAGCCATTTGAAGTATAAGGAAAGCAACGTAGCTGAGATTGTCTGGTTTAATAATAAACATGGAAACGAAATTTGTAAAAATGCTTTTCGATTTTTAATTTCTAAATTTAGACAGCAAGACTAAGGTGGGGTCTCAGTCTCGAACTAAATTATTAAAATTGTACAGCTCCAACTGTACAGTTCGTTGAGAATGAAAGAAAGTTTATTGGGTACAGTTCCATTTAATATCATGATTATATTATTACATGCAATGTTGTTAAAATCAAAAAATAAGACCAATCCATAAAACAATGAGTCTGAATTGGATGTTAACATATAATTGGGACGTGATAGTAGTTTGAAATAATGAGATCAGATTTTATCATATCTCAATCAGTAGGTTAACGTACAACTCAGATTGCTTTCAAATTTTTAAGAGAAACAATGAGTTTGAAGTATAATGAATAGTCAGGTGATCATTTTGTAACTTTCAATAGTCAAGGGATTCAATAAAATAATTTCCTATAGTCGAATGACTATTATATAACTTTTAATAGTCGAGGGGTTTAATAAAATGATATCGTATAATCAAGGGATCATTTATATATTTTACCCAAAAAATAAATAATTTAAATTGTATTGTTATTATTGTTATTGAGACGAAAGATTTTAGCATAGTGATAATTTTAGTTCATTTTAATTTAAATTTTGTTCAATTTAAGTTTTGTCCCTCGATTTGTGGGTTTAAATGTTAAATAGGTATATGTTGGTTAAATCTTGTGTATGTATTATGTAGAATTAATATTTTGATATAACAAATAAGGGCAAAATGTTTTGGACTAAATTGAATTTATTCAAAGTTTTCATCAAAATAATTCAAAGTCCAATCAAAACCTTAAAATGAGTATTTTGACCTGAAGTTTCAAAACTTTTACAAGAGTTTCAAAACTTTCCAAGACAGTTTTGCAAAAAGTTTCAAAACTTTTCCTAAAATTTCGATACTTTGGCTCCAACGATCATATTTTTCCAACGGCTCTTTCGAAGAGTTTCGAAACTTTCCCAGAGTTTCAAAACTTTGTGTGCAGAAAGTCTTCCAAAGGCTTCAAATATTCCCAAACGGCTAGAAACAACTAGTAACTCATTCCAACAATAAAAACAAGTTCAAGACACTTGAAGAAGGTTACACAATATCTATCCAAGCAATCAAAAACAAGAGAAGAGTTTTTCATTCTTATTTTTCTTTCTCTTGTAAATAGTGTGTGTTTTAGTGGTCTTACTTTTGTAAACACCTTTCTTTTGAGAGGTTTATTGTTTACACTTTCTTATCCTTTTGTAAAGGGGTTTTGGTTCTAGTTTAGCCAAGTGAAAAACTAGGGAGTTGTAAAGGTTACTCTTGATCCTTGAAAAAGAAAGAACAAATTAGTGGATTTGTTAGAAAATCCTAAGTGAGGAGCTTAGGTAGTGGATGTAGACTTGGTTGATAAGTCGAACAACTACAAATCATTGTTCAAAATTCCCTATCTTTATACTTCTTACTCCCTAAACTTCAAAAAGCCAATTCACCTCCTCTTGGCACATTTTCGGTTGATCATCGAGCTTCATCGAACCCAACATATTATTTTTGGGTAAATTATACACAAAGTATCTAAACTGTCAATTTTGCTATGTTTTTGTATCTAAATTTTTAACATTTTCAAAACTATACCTAACATTTAGTTTTTGTTTCATTTTAGTACTCTACCTTAAAACTTAACACGTTTAGTACCTAAACTATTAGTTTTTGTCCATTTTAGTGCCTAAAATTTCAATTTTTAAAAAAAATTAACGTCAAAATTTGAGCAATGGTAAAAAAATGAAATAAAAATTAAACTTTAGGTATGGTTTTGAAAAAATTGAAAACTTAGGTACTAAAACAAACCAAAACTGATAGTTTAGGCACTAAATACATTATTTACCCTTTTTTTAATGAATAGGTATTGTTTTCATTTATTTTAGTAATTTCATATATATATATATATATATATATATAATTATCAATATTGTAATGATTGCTTCTAAATATAAAACTATTATCTACTTTATTAGTCTAAATTTAAGTATATTATGATTATCAATTTAATTGTATATTATGATGATTAGTTTGAATAGGGTAAACTACACTGATAGTCACTAAACATCAAACTTCTAAAATTTATATTATAATTAGTCAAATTTTAATTTATTTTTGTTATGAGCACTATTATTAAGAAAAATAGATGGGAGACATTAAAGTATATTTTATTCTTAAAAAATTAAAGTTCAAAAATTATATATTTCAAACGGTAATAATCACTTCTCGATTCACCATCATTTCTATCGTTATTTAATAATTTCTACGATAAAAAATACTTCAATCTTCTTAAATCGATGATGGACTCTTTGACTTTTTCATCCTCTGATCTCCGTTATCAACCGTCCGATGGGTTTGAAACTGGACTATGTTGATCGACTCATTATTTTCTCGTGGTCCACCGTTCTGTTGGTCATTCGTCCACCGAAGCTATGCCTCGTCAACTCATCCGTTGAGTTTTATCGGCAAGATACTAAAATGAAAAAAAAAACTAAACGTTATATATCAAAACAAACCGTAACTAATAGTTTAGATATTAAAATAAACTGAAACTAATAGTTTAAGTACTAAAAGTATAGTTTACCCTAAAAGAAAGTAGAAAAAAATGTGAAAGCGAAGTGGGGGAAACCGGAAGGACGAGTCGTGGGGCTTAAGACACTGGCTCGGTCCCATAGGGCGGGGACCGCCCACAAACCAAGCCCCGACTCTGCTTTCTTTTGACCCATCATTTTCTTACATTTATTTTATAACTATTTACACATATTAAACATTTTCGTATTTTATTATTATTATTATTTTAATTATTAATCTAATTGAGAAAATTACACTATTATATACGTAAAAATTTAAAACTAATTTATATTTCTAAAAAAAATTAAATTTATCAATACATATCCGAATTGAAGCTTTTACTATCAAATGAATAATTTGAAATTTAATAATTTTAAGGTGTGTATATAACAGTTGAATTATTAAAATATTGATTATATAAAATTTTATGAAAATGTATAAAATTAATTTGATTTTACTCTAATATAATCATATTGTACCTTGTTTATATTTTAACTTATTATTTAATTAAATTTTAAAATTTAAACGAGTGTTAGCTGCATTGTAGTCGTAAAGAAAGAATTAAATTTAAATCTTGGATATGATATTATTAAGAAAAATAATAAGGGATGAACTTAATAGGACGAGCGGAGATAGTTGTCCCTTGAAAATTTTAAATTCTTTATATTTTTATATATTTTATTGATAATTTTTTTTATCTCTTAAAATTTTATAAATTTATTCCTTTTAACGTAAAATTTCGTGTCCGTTCATGACAATAATATCAACAAGATAAGCATACATGGAGACTTTGAAAATAAGTTTCTTAATAAGCTTATATAGAGTACCCATCAAAACTAGGTGTGTGGTATGAGTTGATCCAAATTAATCAAGACGAAAAATCCCTGTTGAGAGACTCGCCCACCAAAACTAGATGTACGATATAATTTGGTCCATATTAATAAAACTAAACCCTAGAATAGAAAAGAAAAAATAGTTAAAAAATTTGATTGAATATCAATACATGATGGATTGGTAGTTGACAATGGTATCGTTATCGATGGCCACCATGAATGGTTCGTAGTTGGTGAGGGGACTCCTTTCCCACTTCTCTTTTTAACCTTTATCCATACCCTTCATAGTAGGAGACCCTATCAAAAGGTAGGGTAGGGTCCCTATAGAACATCTTTTATATATAAATATATATATATAAAGTAAATGGATATATCTACTTATATTATCGAGTTTAATTCTATGATAGATTTAACAAATGATCTTAATCGTACCAAAAGAAAATTTGATTTCAATCTTGGTCAAAATTTTAACTGATTGAATATATGGTTTTGTGTAGATATCCATTAATGGAACCTTACATCTCTGGGGTACCCTTAAATTAAACCATGACCATCCTTTAGGGTTCAGCAAGGCACAGGTAAGTGCCCTCCAGTACTCTACATGTAGCTATTGGCATTAAAGAGGTTAGTGTTTTTTTTTCTCCATTAAAATCATGAAGCAGACAAATCAAGCATAGGCAAAATTTGCAGAGATGAATCAGTTTGCAGCGACTTTCATAGTACAAAATCCCTACCTTATCAATGGATTCCATTATTAGCCAATTTACCTAGACATATCCGTAACTTGTGTCTCCACTTCCATTTGTGCTCTTTCATTCTCTCCCCATATAGCTATTCTACGTTATCCTCTCGTTATTGTGTCTTGAAAGACAGACAACCAAAGTCTCGAGCACTAAAAAATAGTCGAAAATCTGTTTTACGAAAACTGTATAACTACATGCCTCAACTAGTTTTCAAATCGTTATTTTGTTGACATTCAAGTTTTTTATTCCAAACTATACTCTTTACTTATTAATAAAAATCTCTTTTTTTTCGTCTCGGATTGTTATACTTATAACAAGGATCTTATGCGAGCTTCATTTTGGTTCCTCTTCACCTTATGTGCTCATTTCCCCCTATTTTTCGAGAAAATTTTCAATGAGTCGTGAGGTGATTATATTTTATGTTTCTACTTACAAAAATAAATAATTTTTGCCGAGTAAAAGAAAAACATAAATTTTATAATAAACATCAATAATAACGAAAAATAAACTCAAAAGACATCGAATTACAACCGATGTTCAAATCTCGAAACAAGATGAATGGCTAGTATTGAAAAAGAGAAACTTGACAAAGAAGAAAAATTAGGGTTAAACAAGGAGGAACACAACATAAAAGCAATGATTAGAAGGAAGGATATTTGTACAGACAGATTGAAACCCTAATGATCAAGTCAGTTGTGTACTCGCACTGACATGGTGGGTTAGCCTTAAATTAGCTAAAGATATGAAATTCGCGTCGGTCCAAAAATGAAAATTAAATGTGTATAATAGAAACGAAACCTATGGTCTGTGTGGTTCATGCCATGGCATAGCTTGTATAATTGAAGGCATAATAAGGCCTATGCTGCAAACGATTCCAAGTGGGGTAGAGGGATGCAATTCTTTAAATTTTCCAACTGGCTTTCGCTAAGACCCTACCAAGAGTTAAGCTATTCAATTGAATAAATTCGATTTTTTTATAATTATTGGTATCTGATTCATTGATCAATTGATTCAGATAAAGTATTATAGAAGTTCATTATAAGAGTAACTCTTTCAACCCGGTTTTCTCCATTTATAATATCAGGATTTGAATCTCTGACTTTTTTTTGTATTAAAAAGTTTAGGTTAGGGATGGTTCTCCCAGTCCATGGTCAGACATACCTAAGACTCGGTTAGGACTTATATAAGAATCTACAGATTGCCCACCAAGAGTGACGGTGGTAGGAATCAAACTTGACCTTATTTGATTAAATTCCTAAATCTCAATCACTTATACCAACACTCGTTGACTTGAATCTCTGACTTTATTCAAGATATTTGAAGTTTAATCCAACTAAATCAACTTATAATTTATAGTAAATTCAATTTTCTTAGATACTGACTTAAACATAAAAGCTTAAATTAGTGAGCTATGCCATGTCATGCCTGATTTTTGGAAGTCAAAACATATCAAGCCCATTGACATAAGAGTAGGGGTGACAATCGGGTGGGGGAAGAAAACTTAAAACCATGAGAATCGGGATGATGGAAGTTTTATCCCTGAAGTTCAAATGTGGAATGGGACAAGAATTATTATATTTGAACTGTGGGGATAACCAAATCGTACATGTGTGAATAACTATGGGATCCTCGAAAAATAACCGTAGGGATCCCCGATATTTTAAAAAAAATAATAGTGGGGATCCCAAAAGATATATGTGAGATTACGTGTTACCACTGTTACATATCAAAAGAACTAAAATTGAAGTTTAGATCTTTTCTCATTTAATATAATTGATTTGTTGAGATCAAAAATGGTTAAGATTGTACATATATATTGGGTGTTAGATGAATATTGACGTTGAAACTTTCATAATAGATAGAGATCAATTTGAAACAATCTGATATATCTTACAAGTTTTAAGTGTTGCATTAATTTAAAAAATGTTTGTTTACTTTTTGGGATGAGAATTAATCTAAACCCGCAGTGATCCATAAGGGATGAATATGGGGAGAAAAAAATCCCAAAACATTTAATGAGAATTCTCCAAAACCGTATCCGCAAATATTAGGGACGGAATGGGTAATATAAAACCGTCCCCGCCCCTTTGCCACCCTACATAAGAGCTATTCCTATTATTATATTTTTGAACTTAATAAATTTGAATATGACACAATTATATCATATTATATATGAAAAATAGATAAAAAAAATATAAATGCATTCAACTTAATAAAATTAAATATAATTTGATTGAGTTATTTCACATTTGAATATTCAATTTCATATTTAGATTAACTTTCTTGCAACACACGCATCCTACACTACCGCACTACGACTCATCGGAGTGGGACTGGTTGCGGGAGCGCTCTCCACCGTCGACCGCAATTAGGAGATATTGAACAAAGTGTTCCATAATATAACCGACACTCACATAGCTCACCATTTGTTTTCGACGATGTCCCATTACCAATGTTTTGAAAATCGGATCAGACTGGCCGGTTCAATCGAAAACCGCTGTTTTGTTCGGTCCATTCTACCTCGGTTCAATCGGTTCTAGTGAACCACAAGGAACCGTTCGAACCGGCTTTGAACCGCTCGAACTGGACCAGACCGTGAACTGGTTCAACCTAAATTTTTTTGATTTTTTATTAAATGTTTTTGGTATTTTTATTTAATTTTTTAAATAATTATGACGTCGTCCGGTTCTTACGATCGGTTCGACCGGTTGAACCAGTGAACCGGTAACACAGCCGGTTCGTTGACCGATTCGGTTCTGAAAACCATGCCCATTACCACGCAATGGAGGCAACCAATGCGATCAAGCCAATATTGGGAACTCTATCAAGTAGTTATATGTTGCCTTAGATAAAAAAAAATACAAAGTTTATGGAAAGAATCATGAAGATTTTATTTTAAACCAAGGATTAAATGTGCAAGACTCTTCATCTCCATGGAATGGACTAGTCTTCATGAGTCCAGGAAGGTCCAAAACATCACTTAAGTAATATTGGGCTACTTCTCGTGTGCTAACTTCAGGTTCGCGGTCCGTGACAATATTAATAATAAAAATAATAAAATATTATAAAAATATATTAGCTATAGTAAAAATTAATTATATTTATACTCTTATATTTGCAATTACATTATAGTTTAACTATATTAATTATATATTTACAACGTCGATAATGGTTTTTTCTATTTAAGATTATAATCCGTCAAAAATTTGACGATAATATCGACATGTTAAGAGATCTAATGTTTAATCTCTTCAATAAATTGGCAACTATTGGTGTAATTTATCATCCATTAAAATCATAATTTCCTTTTAACCCTTTTAAAATGAGTAAAGCACATAAATGGTCCCTGACTATAAGGCATTATTTTATTGAGTCCATCAACTATTAAAAGTTATAAAATAATCCCTCAATTATATTTTTTTTTGCTTTGTTGAGTCCCGTCATTATTAAAAGTTACAAAATGATTATTCGAATATTCATTATGTTTCAAACTTACCATTTTCCGTTAAAAAATTAACACAATTTGAATTGGATGTTAACATAATGACTATGATATGATAAAATTTGATCTCAGAATCATAAACGATTATCATATCTCTGTCAGCCTGTTAATATCTAACTTAGACGACTGTCAATTTTTTAACAAAAAAAAAAGAATTTGGAACATAATGAATAATCATGTGATCATTTTATAACTTTTAATAGTTGAGACACTCAACAAAATAATGTCTTATAGTTTAGATATCATTTTATAATTTTTAATAATCGGTAGAAGAAGCATCCTACCATTTGTCAGTACTTTACCCTTTTAAAAATTGTATCGTTCGATCTGTCTAGCATGATTCTATTTTCGGGCATCGTTCGTACTAAAGTGTGTAACCAAGTTGCTAAGATTTTTCACATAAATAATTTTGATAAATGGAAGAGAGTGTTCGAAACCTAAACAAGAAGGATACCGATGCCATGTACCACCAAGACAACTAATCATCGTCTTCAACTGTGTTTTTTCTAAACAGCCATGTCCAACACATCAAAGTATAAATATCAAAACATGATTCTTCAAAAATATTTAAAAAATTAAAATAAAATTGAACATACAAATCCTTTAAGGGTAGAAATGCCTCCGTCGATAGAGCAAGGAAAGAGCAACGATTCAAACAATGAAGTTGCATAGACGGATTTTCCGAATGTGAAGAGAATCCGATAGGATTTCTGTCGCTGGAATACACAGCAGAGGTTAGCTTCCCACCATTCTACAAATGTTGATCTCTGATGAAGGCAGGGTTGAATTGGGGGGACGTTTCGCAATTTATCGAAACTTTAGCAGGAATATTTGGTCGATTCCTCGTGACCTTCACTCTCGGGTCTCCAATGATGCTAGTAAAATGAACTTTCCCCAAGAGGTAAAAGATCAAGATCGCCCACTTTGATAGCATTCGGTTCGTTTGTAGATAACTACCATACCTCGAGGAAGGGAAACCGAGCACATACATAACATTGTCCCTACATTTTATTCGGAGCCCTCTTTTGTTTCTTCGCCGCTGTTAGGTCGATATCTCCGGATCCCCAGAGTCTTATAATCCCACACGATCTCAGATATCTCATCTTGAGGCAAACTTAGGCCTTCACGTTTTATGGTTCTATGCAAGTCACAGAAGAATTTGGGGTCTTGTAGTCTAATATACTCTTGCAGAAGCTGCTCATGGTCTGGTATCCAATTCCTAGGAAACGGGGTGTAATCGCAAGATGGAATCAAAGACATGTGTGAGAACTGAACACCTTCGATCGCATCAACAAGCCCCATCCTCAAAAGGTCGGAGTATTCAGGTGCGGAGTTGTTGCTACTCTCCCTCAGTGGCCGACTAAGATCACGTGATGCTATCTTATACACCTTGGCACGAGACTTTAGCCTGTACCTAGCAGCATATAGTTTGGCTAAAGAGCTTCGAATCACGTAGGCACAAAAGCCAACAATTTTCTTTCGATTATCAGCATATTTATACCAATCAGCCACAGTCTCGAGAAACTTATTCATCTGTGAATTCGTATGAGCCTGACTCGAGTAGAGCATTGGGTTGCAAGGTAGAGGTTCAGGATCCTTATCACCCTTGACAAACTGAAGACGCCTGAACTGTCGTATGCATTGCTGCAAGCTAGCGGTAACCGAAAGCAAAGTCCCTATATCCTTTTGACTCACGATATTCCCTCCACTAGACGTATAACGAAGGGTTGGGTGTATCACTCTCCTACAGATGATATGATCCAAGAATTGAATTCCTCTACTAATGTGTTCAATCTCCAGTTTAGAATTATCCAACCTTAACCCAAATTTGCTCTCACAAAACTCGATTATTTCCTTCCTAATTTGCACTGCATCCTCTCTCGGTCCTCGAATGCCAATCAAGAAATGACCTCCGAATCTTATGTAATCCATTTTCCTAGTCTTCTCTCTACCACTAGAAGGAACAAACTCAGGCCAAGAAGGGTTGTGGCATCCATCATCGATGCTATCCTTCCATATCGAATCGTGCTTAGACGGCCTAAAAAACGCAACTATCTTCTCTTCCATTACTTGATCCAGTTCATTAAGACAGACATTAGCAAGTAAAGGACTTAAAATTCCACAATAACCATAAGAAGGTACCTTAGCAGCTTCCTCAGGAGCAAAATCGAAGAAAGTCCTCAGCCAATATGGGTCCGGTTTAGGCTCGTTCTCGTTCAAAATTCTCTTCTTCGTGGCTTTTCTCTTTTTCCTTCTCTTGCTCTTCAAATCTCCACCACCACTACCATCATCACCTCTCTTTAATCTCCTCTTAACACGCACATTAAGCCCGGATTTAATCAAATTCAATACTTTCCTATCTTTTACAACCTTTTGAAGATAATCCATCATTACATCTACATCCACATTATCAAATAGCTCAGTCAAATCACCTTTTAAAAACCAAAGGTACCCAGCAAAGTTACTTCGAATAGTGCGGATAACTGTATGGGCATTCCTTCCAGGCCTAAAGGCGTGAGATTTACCTGAAAACCGGGCTTCAAAAATCGGTTCCAAGACCATCAAAAGAACCTCCTGGACAACCCGGTCTTGGAAACAAGGCTCAGGGGATTCAAGCATGGCTTGAAGTTTCCTCTTTGAGATCACAGTCTTCGACGGTTTGTCATTCGGGCTACGAATAAGCTGATTGGTCTTGTTGTTCCACTTGAAACGGCTGCCGTGAACGACGGCGTTACGGAGGGAGAGAATGGAATTGAGAGTCTGGGAGTGAATGGCGTTGCGGGGAGGGAACGTGCCGGTGAAGTGAGCGCAAGAGCGTTGGTAGGCTAAGACCCAAAGGTCTAATTTCGAAAGGAAGCCGGAGAGGTTGGGGAAAGTGGCGTTTGTTGGTGAAGAGAATGATTTGACCCATATCGAAAGACAGATATCAAATGGGTCCTGCTTCAAAAGATTGTATGGATCCGCATCGGATGCCGAGTTGGCTGACGAGTCCTGAGTTGAGAGAATCGACAGGGAAGAAGAAGAAAAGCGAAGGGAATTGGAAAGGAAAGGAAAAGGTTTTGGATTTGGAACGTACGGAAAGTGTTTGATGATTTGCCTCAGTGACATTTTTCCTTTCCAAGACGATGGCTTCCTTCTTCCCGGGTTTTCTCTTTTACACATGATCATTAAAGTGTAATATAGGTAAACTACTTACCTAAACTATCATTTTTTTATCCATTTTAATATTTAAATTTTTAATTCTTTTAAAATTATATCTAAATTTTAATTTTTTATTTTATTTTAATATTATACATTAAAAATTTAACACTTTTATTATTTAAACTATCAATTTTGATTCATTTTAACATCTAAAATTTCTATTTTTCTAAAATTTAATGTTAAACTCGATTTCTTTTTTAAAATTATATATATATATTATTTATTTATTAAATATATACTCATTTATGAATGAGGAGTGATTTAAATGTATATATGCATATTAAATGGGTTAATATTTGACAGCTAATATAATCTCCATTTGTCCCCCAGTTCGATTGCGCCACGTAATCATCCAATTCTCCAATCCAAATCATCGTCGCCGTTTATTAACACCCAATCATGATTTATACAGTAAGTACAAATACAGATAATCTTCCCTCTCCCTTGGGCTTGCTTGAATTCTCCTAAGGGCAAAATTTATCCTTTTTCTTTTCTTCCCTGTCTTCTCTCTAAACGAGATGAAAGATCGCTGACCCAATCCATGGCGAGTCAAGCCGAACTCAGTAACAGCTCCTCCCACCGTCCAGCTCAGTGACTCAGAGCACTTGAAAAGCTCCGAGTTTGCTGGTCAAGGTCGTCGGCTGTTAAGGCCAGGTCTTTCTTTTTTCTTCAATAAGTTTTGTTTTCACCATGATTTTTCAATGTTTATTTACTCTTGTATTTAAGGTCCTCAGCTCGATGACATAAAGCTAGGGCTTTTTCCTAATTTGGGTCTTAGATCTGGGCTTCATGATATTTGTTGAGAAATTAGGGTTTTACTCTCTGGTTTTGATGAAATTGTAATCGAGGAAGGGTTTTCTTTTGGAATTGGGTTTTATGGGTTATTAGGGTAGAAGAAAATTTGGGGGTTTTGATGAATTTCTTCAATTTTATGATTATGAAATATGGGTTTCTTCAATTTAGGGTAAATTTAAGGTTTTTGTAGTTTGTGAAGATTATAAGTTGGGTTTATCCGCTGTTGGAAAAAAAATAAGGGTTTCTTCGAGTATCTGTGATGGGTGAGGAAACATCTGATACAATGAACCTTGATTTGAATCTGGGTCCAGCCCCTGAGATTGTGTCCGGATCGCCGTCAATTGAAGGTGTAAATTTGGATGATTTAGTTGATAACCCGTTCGATAGGATCCGTGAAGCAGTTAGGCGAAGGCGATGGAGATGGCATCAGGTTCCAATTCCTGCAGCAACACAGAGCCTCACGGTGGAGTTCGATCAATTTAGGGTGAATTCGGGCAGTGCGAATACGATGCAGGCAGGTGAGGGCAGTGTTGTGGTCGAGGAAAGGACGAGTGATGTTCCAAAATCGTGTGAAGCTACCTATGGGTTTTCTGAGGATAGGATTTCAGAAGATAGGAAGGATGATATTGAGAAGGGTGTTAGCAATGATGGAAGTTTTTTCGATTGTAATATATGCTTGGATTTGGCTCGGGATCCTGTTGTAACTTGTTGTGGTCACTTGTTTTGTTGGTCGTGCCTCTACCGATGGTTGCATATGCATTCGGATGCAAATGAGTGCCCTGTCTGCAAAGGGGAGGTGACAGTTAAACCCTGACCCCGATATTTGGTCGTGGGAATGTTGTCCACGAGTCAGAAGAGGATTCGGGTTTTAAGATCCCTCCTCGGCCCTCTGGACGGCGAGCGATAGTTGGAGGCAAACTATTCAACGGACTCCTTTAAATATCCCAGTGGAGGAGATGATTCGCCAGATTGGAAGCAGATTTGATTTGGTTCGTGACCCGACTCCACCACGGGAGGCAAATGGTTCCCGGGGGACTGTAGAAAGGACTGATTCCATGCTTAACAGGATTTTGACATCTCGTGAGTTCCGAGGAGATCAAAATGCAGTGCTGCCCCTTGATGATGTTGACTTGACGCCTAGCAGTACAACCGGTACCGAAGCTATGTCCTCCCGGATTCAATCTTTATACCCTCAGCGACAATCATACTTGCGAAGAGCTGCAAGATTTACTACCCTGTCTGCACTGAGTTCAGCCGAAAGGATGGCTGAGACAAATTTCCGAGGCAACTTGGTGGGAAGAAATCAGGAACAGCAACCGGCAGTCGTCGACGATAGAGACTCATTCTCGAGCATTGCTGCTGTAATAAACTCAGAGAGTCAAATGGACACCGCGGTCGAGATAGATTCAATGGTATCGCTCTCGGCTTCATCTTCCAGGAGAAGAAATGACGTCTTGAGGGTCTCGGATGTCGACAGCGGTGACTCTCGGGCGCATAGGAGGAGACGACTGAACTAGGGACCTTGTAAGATTCCGGATCACATCTCGATATCACGGAACTGCTCCATAATAGTTTTCTTCTTCCTTTTAACTGCTTTCCATTTTACAACGCATTATCTTACAAAGAATTCTCAGCATTTTATTCTGATTGAAATGTTATAATCCTTTCCTATTTATCTTTGCCTTTACAAATTCGGGTTTCTAAATGTTTCATCTTTAGTATTACTAATATTCGAACTCGATACTTAAAAAACTAATAACAGTTTTTTTACTATCGAAGTCGCATTCTTATGTAATATATTTAATGCTTAAATAGTTGTTCTTAAATGATTCTAAATAAATCTCAATTATTTTATATAAAAGTTTATAAAAAATACCAAATAAAACTTATATAAAATAAATATTAGGACATATTACTCATTCAGTATTTTAACTATTAGTTTTAGTCTGTTTTAGTATCTAAATTTTTAATTTTTTCAAAATCATAATTAATATTTAGTTTTTGTTTTCTTTTAGTACCCATTGTTAAAATTTTAACGCGTTTAATATTCAAACTACTAGTTTTGATCTAATTTAGTACCTAGTGTTTTAATTTTTTTTTAAATTTAATATTAAATTTTGAACAGAAATATTAAAATGAATAAAAATTAAATTGTAAGTATAATTTTGAAAATTTAAAAAAATTTAGATATTAAAACATATCAAAATTAATAATTTAGATATTAAACATTTAATTTATCCTAAATATTATAAGTATAGTACACGAGGTATATTTTTTTCTTGATGTATGGGATATAGGGCCCCTATTTGTTACCCATATATAGTCATAAAGTGGCATAGTTATATATTTATTTAAATTGGGTAAATTATGTCAATGGTCACTCATATTTGGGGTAGTATATATTTTCATCATTGATGTTTAAAAAGTCACAAATCAATTACTAATGTTATATTTATTATAAAATGATCACTCGATTTTTACAACCTTTATTGTGGGTGACGGAAAGTTGACCTATACCATTAACTGCTTATCTGGCCGGTTAATTGCTTCCATGACCCGTTGAGCAATCATTAATTTAATGAAAATTACTTCTTCTTCCCCTCTCCCTTTTTCTTCCTGGGAGTTCTTTACCCTAAAAATGCCAAAGTTGCCTTTCCCTAATAACTATGTTGGGAATCTCCTTCCCAACTCATTCTTCACTCTTTCTCCTTCTCCTTTTTCACAACTCATTCTTTACTCTTCTTCCTTCTCCTTCACTACATTCATCATTTGTCTTAGTTTTACATCCAAAAATAAATCATCATTTTTGTTTAATTTACACATTTATACACCAAAAACACAAAGGGTAAAGAAAACCTAAATAGGGATCTTCTCCTTCTTCACCGCCAATAGCTTAATATTTGTTGCTATCCGTTTTTCCGACGTCGTCATTGCATGTCCACCGTCCGGCCGAGAAGCATCGTTGAGTTTAATGGAACACATCGTCGCCGTCGCCGAGTTATGAAACCCTCGTTTGCTTATCGGATTTCCTGGATCATGCTTCCTCCTCTTCGTCTTCAACACTCGTTCCATGCCCCTAGGTTGCTTTGCGGGGAAGTAATATCTCATATATGAATCCTTGAATTTTATTGAAGGAAAAACATTTTTGCTTTTTCATTCAATCTTCGAAGAATTAATACATTCATTCGTGTATATTTGCAGGAACTATAAAAGCAATGGTTTTCTTAAATCTCACTTTGGTTGTTCCAAAACTTGACAAGAAGTCATTCTGGGCAGACCCTAGGTGTGTTTATCATTCTTGACAAGAGATTTGACCACTGTGTGGCTGCGGTGCCTGAGGATGCTACGAGCGTAGGAGGAGAGCGGTTGGGACCGGCGGTTTCCGCCAGTTGATCCGCATGCTGTTGTTGCTCGTCGGTGAAGTGATGGAGAGTTAGATCTTGGGAAAGATAGTTGTTGTGGTGAAACGCCATGGAAACGGATACCAAAGAGAGAAATAAGCTGATTATGAATTCATGGTTGTTCGATAGAGAGAGAAAGAGAAGAAAATGAATGTAAAGTTAAAGTCTTTGTATTTAGAGAGAGAGAGAGAGAGCAAAGGTGAGGGCTTTGCCTTTAAAGCATAGATAGATGTGTTGAAAAGTCAAGGTAAGTGGCCAAATTGATGGCCAAATTATTCGGTGCAAATTGATGGGTTGAAAAATAATTCCACTTAAAATGTTGAAAATGTGGATGGGCAAATTACATACTTTAATCACTAAATTTTAAGGTATTTATAAGATTAGTCTTTAAACTTTAACTATAATTACCCTAGTTCATTTAGCTTCAAAATCATCCTAAATCATTCTAGCTTTCTCCCATTACTAAAGAGTTTTCTTGAGAGTTGTTTTTTCCTTTTTATCAAGAGAGAATTATCATTATTTTCTCCTTGGTAGATCGAGAGAAGTTGTAATTCATATTTTCTCATAGTGAAATTCTTCTATTGTTGCCCGTGATTTTTACCCTATATTATTTAGGGGTTTTTCACGTAAAATTTGTGTCTCTTTTATCTTAATTTTTATTTTCTCAAATTATTAATTACGATTTTGCTTTAACCGATAGCCGTCTTCCGCAACAAGATAATGTTAGAGAAAGGTTTAAGAAATGATTGTAACTATCCAAGTTACTGTGCAACTTGTTTGATGAGAAAGTTTTGAGAGAAATGGAAAGATGAGAGAGCGGAGATGAACATAAGGATTAGTCAAAATAGTATTCAAACGGTGTCAAATCAGTGGTTAACACAACATGTCGATTTTTCGTAACTACAATAACGGTCGTTAACGTCGAGTAACTATTTTATAACAAACAATAACGTTAGTGATCGATTTATGATTTTTTAAACATTAATAGTGAAAATAAACACCACCCCAAACATAAATGATCATTGGCATAGTTTATTTTTATTGTGCCGAGTAATAATAATTTTTTTTATTTAAAAAATTATATTTTTTTTATCTCATCATAACGAGACATTCTATTTAGGGACAGTCTTATTGAATTTTGAAAAATAAAGATAATTCTTTTCAGTTATTTTATTTATAATTGTTCGGATTCGAATATCTTAACCTTATTTAAGAGATCTAATGTCTTATCCTATTAGATCAACCGATTATTAATATTTAATAAGTTTAATTGGTTGATATTTTTACCAATACAATGTACTATAGTTTAGACATCGTATAAAAAATAAATTATAATTATTAAAAGTTCTCTAACTCTACTTAATGAGAGTTGACGTTCCATTATATAAATCTTTTTTACTTAACCACTTTATATATAAGTTTGGAATAATGTATAATTTTTCATTACATAATTTATATTGTTTTACAGCGATCGATACCAACCTTCACTTAAAACATGAACACTTTACACTATATATATTTCACATTAATTGTCACAACTCACACGCCTTCATTGCCTCATCCATGGCGGAGCTCCTCCTAAAACACTCCGACGCCGCCGCTTTCCTCCTCACAGTTGTCACGTTAACTTCGTCCTTCGCCGCCTTAGGATCCGACTCTTTCTCTCAAAACATCTCTCCATTGTCCCTGGGGCTAAACAAACCGGAGAAACTAAGCCATCTCCATTTCTACTTCCACGACATCGTCGTCGGCAAAAACGCCACCGCCGTCCGCGTAGCCCAAGCACCGACGACGACCGCGGCGTCGCCGTTCGGTGTGGTGGTGGTTCTCGACGACCCTTTGACGGTCGGCCCCGATATAGGGTCCGAACTCGTGGGAAAAGCGCAAGGGATCTATGCTTTCGCGTCGCAGACTGACTCTAGCTTGCTGGTGGCGTATAACTTTGCTTTCATGGCGGAGGAATACAACGGAAGCAGCCTTACCATTTTGGGGCGAAACACGGTGTCTTCGGCCGTGAGAGAGATGCCGGTGGTCGGCGGCAGTGGGACTTTCCGGTTTGCTCGTGGATATGTCGAAGCAAGGACGGAGAGTTTTGATCTCAAAACTGGGAACACTGTTGTTGAATATAATGTTTATGTTTTACATTATTAAAATAAATTCCTTTTATGGGATTCAAACTCTGAATTTATTAAATACTATTTCGAATATTACTAATAATTATATAAATCAACGCAGAGTAGAACAATTTGAGTTTTAAGAAATAATATTAATATAGAATAGGATTTATTTAATATATTATTTTTAACAAATAATAAACTATAAACTTATATATTATAAATATGAAATTTTCTATATTTCATAAATACGATGTATAATACATCTTATCACAAATAATACATAATAAGATTTTTTTATCTAAGGAAATATAATCACAATAATCTTCAACTATTATAATTACATTAAAATTCAATTTAATTATCAAATAAAATTTAAATTAATATTTAATCGTCTATATGACCTTGTGTTAGGTATGACTCATAAATATACCGGTAAAAAGGATAGAGGATGGAGCGGAGTGAGCGAAGCGAACATCATCTGTCTTTACAAAGAAAATCTCGTAATGGGGGTTACGATTATGTGAGTTGGGGTGCGAGGGCGCAGCCCGCAGTATGGTACAGGGTTATTTTTGTAAATATGTAACATTGTTTATTTATTATAAAAGGAGATGCTACCTAAACCTATGAGACATTGAATAAAAATTCTAGCGCCGCCTAGGGCACCGAAGACGTAAGCACATTGTTGAACCTTGTTAAAATTATTGTGTTCTTTCATTTTCTTTACCTGATTATTCAACACCTTGTGAATAAAAAAACTTAGAATGAATGAGTCACCCTATAACGAACCTATATGATATTCGTTCTGAATTGATTGACTAATGAATTGAATATCAATAACGATACTAAGACATAAAAAAGTTAGAGTAAAGTATATAAATGGTCTTTTGACTATATGATATTGTTTTATTAAGTCCCTCGACTATTAAAAGTTACAAAATGATCATTCAAATATATAATGTTGTTTTGTTGAGTCATTTGACTATTAAAAGTTAAAAAAGGGTCACCTTACTATTTATTATGTTCCAAACTCATTCTTTTCCGTTAAAAAATCGGGATTTTCTAAGTTGGACGTTAACATGATAATTGAGATATGATAGTCATTTGAGATTCTATGATCAAATTTTATTATATCACAATAAGCATATTAACTTTTAGCTCAGAATAACATCAATTTTTTTAACGAGAAAGGACGAGTTTGAAACATAATGAATAATCAGATGACTATTTTAACTTTTAATAGTCAAGGGACATATCAAAACAACATTCTATAGTTAGAGGATCATTTTGTAACTTTTAACAGTCGATGGACTTTATTAAACAATATCCTATAATTGTGACCATTTGTTTACTTTACATACAATTTACAACCTATTTTAATCTCATTTATAAAAAAAATTATATATTATAATGTTTCAACCTATAGAAATATCTTCTCACCAACTCTTCAAAATCAAATCATAAACACTATAGTCTATATACATTGCATAAAATTTATGTCAATTTTCATGTACCCACACCCTATTTTATTTTCTCCAACAAAAGAAGACGCTATTTTATATTACAACCTCGAAAGCTTTCACCGCCTCAACCATGGCGGAGCTCCTCCTAGGTCTGTCCACCACCGTCTTCCTCCTCGCGGTCCTATCGTTATCTTCACCCTCCGCCGGCGTAGAATCAAAGCCTTTCGCTCGAGTTCTCTCCCCATCGTCCATGGGGCTAAACAAACCCGATCAACTAAGCCACCTCCATTTCTACTTCCACGACATCGTCGCCGGAGAAAACGCCACCGCAATCCGCGTGGCAAAAGCGCCAACGACGACGGCGTCCTCTCCGTTCGGCGCGGTGGTGGTTATAGACGACCGTTTGACCGTCGGCCCCGATATCGACTCCAAACTCGTGGGAAGAGCGCAAGGGATTTATGTCACGGCGTCTCAGACTGAAGCTAGCTTGTTAATGGCGTATAACTTTGCGTTCATGGAAGGGGAGTATAAGGGAAGCAGCCTCGCCCTTATGGGGCGGAACCCGGTGTTTTCCGACGTCAGAGAGATGCCGGTGATCGGCGGCAGTGGCGTCTTCCGGTTGGCTCGCGGATATGCCGAAGCGAGGACTAGTAGATATGATTACGATACGGGGAACGCTATTGTTGAGTACAACGTTTATGTTCTTCATTCAGAATCTCTTGCCCAGAGTTCTAATCATGCACCATCATCAAACAAAAAATTAATTAGTCAATTTCTTTGTATTTTTATTTTATATATTCTCATTTTAGAGGTTTAATTCTGATTTTAATCTTTTATCATGTTAAAATTTGGTAATTGCTTTTGTTTATATTATTTGTTATTATTATCTGATATATTATAAATAATATCAAGTGCATTTAAAAATAAAATATTTTAAAAATAAATGCTTAATACATTTTTAGGTGTCTAAATTATACATCTAATTAATTTTTGGTGTCTAAAGAATTTTTCGACTAAAAATAGGTGGTTAATATTTTTAACGTTATACTTTTAGGTGTCTAGATTATAATAATCGTTAAATTTTGATGTTATCTTATACGTTTTATACATATACAATTTAAAAAAAGATTTGATATTATAAAAAAAAACTCAAAATTTCGCCATAGATCGATCACAGTCGATCTCTAACTGTCACCGTTTACATCATTAGAATTATCTCGCCGCCATAACCAAAACCCAATTCCCAACCCCCTATGAAACTACATTGATCATCATGAAAAGCTTTGCAAGGGTTGTCAGTTTTCTAAGTTTTCCTTTGTTGTTTCCTGGCGACTTCAACGCCCTGCTACGAACAAAACACATCCGGTGATGACCTTTCGTCATCATCGGAGGAGGGGGATGGGAAGGAGAGGGACGATGCGGAGATTGATTTTCTTTGATTTTTTTCTTTTTTTGTTTGAAAAAAAAATATTATTAAAAATAAAAATATAACTACAGACACCTAAAAATGTAACAAAAAACATTAGACACCTATTTTTAACAAAAAAAAATTCTTTAGGCACCAAAAATCAATTTAAGGTATAATTTAGACACTTGTTTTTATATTAAGCCTAAAATAAACAATAACTTTTCAACTAAATTAATATCAAATTTGATTTATAACACCAACTCAATTTATTTTGTATATAATATAGATTCAATTAATTAAACTTTTTGCCAAATAACTTGCAAGAGAAGAGATTACCTACTTTGGTGGTTGTAGAATTAACTATTAAGAAATCTTTTGCCCATCCACCATACTAATTTTGAGTCTCGGATTTAATATATTCACTTTAATTATTAAAATTTAATTATTCACTTTTAAATATCATAATTAAATATTTAAAGTATCAACATTATATCAATTAAGTATTTTCATTAATTTAAACATCAATTTAAATTTGCACGAACCAACTTACCTGGTGGTTAAGTGAATCGTTGTTATTCTTAGAGGTCACGGGTTCAAACACCAGCAGCTGCAACAGGATGATTGAGCGTTCATTGTCAAATGGTTGAGAATATTTAGAATATAAACTACTTTGTATTCACCTTAGCTTAATAAAAAAAGAGACTGATTGATCATTTTATAACTTTTAATAATAAAAAAATTAAAATAAACAATATTATATAATTAATAAATTATTTTATAAATTTTAATAGTCATAGCACTAAATAAAATAAAGATTGAGAAGCATTCAGCTTAAAGAGTAGATGGAACCATGATCAAACAACCTAAGCTATGTTTTAGGAAAGGACAGACAACCTAATCTGCTCAAACGTAGCTGTCGCGTGTGTTACTAAGTCAAGCTTTTTGCTATTTTAAATGAAGCAGGAGACTACTTAAATGGGTATTTCAAAATCATATTAGTTGCCTTTCCGACATGAAAAAGAAACCCATTAATTATTGAAATTGATATATATATATATATATATATATATATATATATATATATATATAGGGTAAAATATATGGATGGCCTTTGACTATAGGATGTTATTTTATTGAGTCCCTTAATTATAAAAAATTACAAATATCATCTGATTATAGAATGTTGCTTAGTCCCTCGACTATCAAAAATTATATAATGATCAAATCATTAAGTTACAAAATGGTTATCATATTATTTATTATGTTTCAAATCCATAATTTTTCTGTTAAAAATTTGACAATAATCTGAGCTGAATATTAATTTAATGTCTGAGATATGATAAAGATTAATCCAAGAATCTTAAACGACTATCATATCTCAAGCAGCATGTTAACATCCAGCTTAAATTGTTATTAAACTTTTAACGGAAAAGGACGAGTTTGAAACATAATGAATAGTTATGTGGCAATTTTGTAACTTTAATATTCGAAGAACTCAATAAAATAACGTCTTATAATCAGGGGACTATTTTGTAACTTTTGATAGTTAGAGACTTAACAAAATAACACCTTATAGTCGATGACCATTTGTGTACTTTACCTATATATATATAGTTTAGTTTTGATTTTTTTATATTATTATTTAAATTTAGGATAAAGTATACAAATGGTCCCCGGCTATAGGATACTGCTTTATTAAACCCTTTGACTATTAAAAGTTATAAAATAGTCATTCAACTATAGAATGTTGCTTTATTTAAGTCTCTCGGCTATTAAAAGTCACAAAATGGTCACCTGACTATTCATTATATTCCAAACTCGTATTTTTTCGTTAAAAATTGGTAATTGTATAAGTTGAACGTTAACATGAAGAATGTGATATGATAGTCGTTTGAGGTTTTAAGATCAAATTATAAATTTCATATATTTTTAAAAATTTTATTGACTTTTAAAATTAATTGTTTGAAAACTATTAAAATAAATTTTTAATTACAATTGAGTGATCAAATGAATTATTAATCATTAATTATTATTTTTAGCAACAATTAATAATGTTTATTCATTTTTAATAAAATTAGAATTTAATATTTATTTAATATTTTTTAAAATTAATATTAGAAAAAATATTTTAAATGCATATGTGATATTTTTTTTAGTTTTACCTTCTTTTTTATTAAATTTTATTCACTTTTAATCCTTTTTATTATATTTTTATTGAATTTTAAATATATGAGTTATAATTCAAAATAATCATTTATTGTGTTATTATTCAAATTAATTAAGAAAAATTATGGTAAAATGTTTCTAAACGAAAATTATAAATACATACATGAAAATCTAAGGATTTTTCTTTCTTTTGTGTTACTCTTTAAACTTGTAACAAAATTCAATAAAAAAAGAATGTAAAGCTAAAAAATATCACCTATATATTTAAAATATTTTGTCTAATATTAATTTTAAAAATATTAAATAAATATTAAATTATAATTTTATTAAAAATGGATAAACATTATTAACTATTTCTAAAAAGTAATGAATAATGAATAATAATTCATTTGATCCCTCAATTGTAATTAAAAGTTTATTTTAATATTTTTATATTTTTAAGCAATTAATTTTAAAAGTCAATAAAATTTTCAAAAATATATGAAATTTACAATTTTTTAAATTATAAAATATTTCTTATCATCATCATCGTCATCATTTTGTAAAAAAAATACTAGTTAAAAAAATAGAGATCTACACAAGGCGTTCATTGACCTTGAGAAGGCGTATGATAGCGTTCCTCGCGATACGATCTGGAAGACCTTGGAAACGAGACGGATCCCAACTGCTTATATCCGGGCGATTCGTGATATGTACTGTAGATCTACTACTTACGTCAGGACTACAGTTGGCGACACCAAGGCATTCCCGGTGGAAATCGAACACCACCAGGGGTCGACTCTTAGCCCTTACATCTTCGCCTTGATTATAGACGACATCTATTGTGCGACACCAGACGGTGTTCCATGGTGTATGCTTTTCGCTGACGACATTATCCTAGTTGATGAAACAAGAACTGAACTGAATAGTAGACTGGCTACCTGGAAGACTACTTTGGAAGAAAAAGGTCTAAGGATCAATATTGAAAAGATAGAGTATGTATGTTCAAACTTCAGTGGGAACCAAAACGATGAAGATGTAAAAGTATGCATAAAAGGACATGTTATCCCCTCAAAGGATTGTTTCAAGTACCTAGGGTCTATGATACATAAAGATGGGGTGTAGATGATGACGTTACACACCGTACAAAGGCGGGATGGCTAAAGTGGAGGGCTGCTACTGGAGTTTTGTGTGACAAGAAGGTGCCTCTAAAACTTAAGGGAAAATTTTATAGAATGACAATAAGACCAGTGTTGTTGTACGGATCAGAATTTTGGGCATTCAGGAAGGATCACGTAAGGAGGATGGAAGCCGCAGAAATGAGAATGTTTCGATGGACATGTGGTAGGACTCTGTGGGACATTACACCAAACTCTGCTATTAGGATGTCCTTGGGGGTGGTGTATGTATCTGAAAAATTGAGGGAGGGAAGACTACGGTGGTTTGGGCATGTACTTAGGCGACAACCGTCAGATGCGGTCAGGAGGGTATAGTCGATTATAGTCGACGGTGCCATAAGGAGATGACGACCAAGGCGGAAGTGGGAAGACTGCTTGAGATCTGATTTGAAGGAATCAACCCTTACCGAGGACATGACCTCTGATAGGAAAGTATAGATACTTAAGACCAGGGTAGCCGAGTTTGTAATTTCCATGACTTCTACTTTATACATGTTTCTGCCATTGGAATGTATGAAGGCTTAGAACTAGGGTAGCGGAGTAGTGTTGCCTTAGTTTAGGTATTAACCCATTTGACTTTATTCCTTCTCGTAGCTTGCTATCGTTGACTTCTGTGTATCATTCTCTTCAGGTTTCCTCTTTTTAAATTTAGCCGGATCTTACGTTTCAGTTTATATGCAGAGATTTCTACGCAGGGATTTATTTGCAGGATTACTTCCCATTACAGACGTGCATATGAAGACTGCATATGAAGACTGTTCAACTATGTATTTATTTATTTATTTATACATGCATTGCATTTTATCTTTATTTTTAATTTTCTGACTACCAGAGGCCTTCCACGGAAGTTGCTCTCAACCTGGCGTTGGGGTCAGCCTACTCCCCTACCTCCCCCTTACTCACATTGCATATGAGAATAGGGTTTTGTTGTTGTTGTTACCCTCAAAGTTTTCTTATACTAGATTATACATATTGTGTAGTTCATGAAAAAAATCAAAATTGTCGAGTTATAATTAATTTATAAAAAAATATTTAAAGATTTTAATGCATAAAGTTTTTTTTTGCACACGCAAAAAATAAATAAAAAAGTTGACGTTTTTACAGAAAAATCATACTAACATAAATTAATTACATATTAGGCACTATTTTAAAAAA